GTTGTATTGTATTGTGTTGTACTTAGCACTATTGATTGAGGTTGTTCAGTTGTATTTGAATTTGTCATTGGAACCATTGCTGTAGAGTATCTTCTCATATTGTTGTCATTGATTTGCATTGTCTTGGGTCCTCCTTGAAAGCTATGATCGCTCGTCACGCTTTGCGAACTGTCCGATTGGATTGTCTTGCTTCTTTTTCTTCCCGTTTTCTCATCTGAGATTTTCTCCATGTCCGGATTTCTTTATGTCAAGTGCTCTTGGGCTTTAATTCTGGAACCGGCAACATTGCTCTTCGCAATAGCTCGGTCAATTATAGAGTCTAAGTCTTATAATATGAATGAAATATAACTGTTAAGTGAACCTACTGCCATAGTGTCGCTATGGTAAACAAATAGAGAGAATTTTAAAGAATGCATTTATTCTATTGTAGTTTATGCGCTGTCGGCGAAGTAGATTTAATTCAATCCAATAAGTTTAAATGAAATGCAAGAAAGAATGCGTATAATTCAATATTCCGTACAAGGAATTCATGTGGTGTACACATTAGATTTTTTTCTTAAATAGTGCTGTCCTGGATGTTGTTTGCAAGGTTATTTCATTTTGGATATGAATATGGGAAGTTATTAGATTTAGGTATATTTTGTATGAAATATTTTTGATCATATTTATTAACTACTTTATACTGTCTTTCATTTGCATATCTTGCAGATATAGAAGTTAATGGTTATATTTTTTATTGTGAAATGTGAATAAATTTATACTTGAGTTCAGGTAAAATACTGATTATTTTACCTTAAGAACCCAATTTATCATGACCGGGACAGTTTTCAATGCCTCTGAGATTTAACAGAAATAAATGTGATGTTATCAGAAACACTCTTTTTTTTACCCACATATGTATCTTTACTTTTATTTATGTCTAATTGAGTTTTATTTACTTAAAACCTACTATTAATGTTATATATTTATAATAACCACTTTCATTACTCTCACTTTAGGGAAAAAATTATGAAATCTTAAATAATCGTAACTCAGAATTTAAGTTATTTAAAAAATATAGTTTAAAGTACTGAAAATAATTAAAGCTATTATTAATTATGCATATTTAGTCTAAAGAGAAAATTGTATTATCTTTTGGTTTTCAGGAAATGCTAAAATATTTAAAGTTTAGATAAATATAAGGAATACAAAATTTTAAAAAAGAAGAAAAATATATTAATTATTAAGCTTATTTTTCTGCATAAATCAATATGTTACACAAGGACATAATGACATTTCCACAACTGTTGCAAAAACTGCTAGACAGATAATATACTGTCTGTAGGACACAATGAATGGTAAAATTTGGACTGTTCTGTTAAAATTCGTTTCTTTTTTGTCTAACAAAACAAAATTGTTTTTCAGTGATTCTATAAATATAATACATCACCGAAATTACTTTACCACACTAAAACATTTCCCTTTATATTGATGAAATACTTCTTTTATATTTCCATAAAAACAAAATCTTACAATATATAAATTTAAACATTAACCATCTGCAAAATCGTATGGCCAGTTAATCAGTTAAAAAACCAAAAGCGCTTCAGCACGCAAGTCCCCGCTCTAATACAACGCTTAATAAACTGTACCTTCGGATGATTCTGAATGCCAAGTGCAGAAAAAATAGCTGCACTTGCCTCAGCTGCCTTATGCTGTGCTTCTCCAGTAGGCCATACATATAAAGCGTGATTTTCTATTAGTGTGCAGTGCGTACACATTAAAACTTCCCAGGTTCGTTTGCTTTTTAACGCACTACGTGGTGCAGCACCTAGTACCCGCATGCACTGCGGGAATACAAGCAAGCAAATCAACATAATATTGAATATTATAAATAATATTTATTATATACCATATAAAGATAGGTGCAGAAAATTATTCTCTCTCATAATTTTGCCAGGGTGTGCAGTGCACACCATGCTTATATGGACCGCACGCCAAGTCGGCAAACCTCGATGCTGTCTTATGCGAGTGGTTCTGGCAGCGGCGGAGTGATGGGTACCAATTTCAGGACCGTTTCTGAGAGAAAAGGCGAAGCAGATTCATGCTGATTTTAAAATAGAGGAGCCGTGTAATTTCAGCAGCGGTTGGTTGAATAGATTTAAACAGAGACACAGTATACGTTATCTGAAAGCATGCAGGGAAAAACTTTCAGCAGATAAAGATGTTGCAGAGGAGTTTATTGATGAATTTTCTGTATTAGTGGCAGAAGAAAATCTTAGCCCAGAACAGGTTTTTAATATGGACGAGATTGAACTTTTTTGGTGATGTTTGCCAAGAAAGACATTTGTGACAAGTGAAGAAAGTGCACCATCAAGGGTGAAGGATGCTACAGAAAGAGTTACCATTTTAGTATGCAGCTGGAACTTCCAAATGTAAACCAGAGGTAGTGGATAAGAGAACTAATCCCAGAACTCTGAAAGAAGTAAAATCCTTACCTGTGATTTACAGGAGTAATAAAAATTCCTGGTTCACAAAACAACTTATGACTGAATGGTTCATGGAGCATTTCATTAAAGAGGCTAGAAGGCATTGTAATAGTGTGGGGTTACCATCAAATTGCAAGATTTTACTATTGTTAGACAACTGATCTGCACATCCAGATGCAACTATTTTAACATGTGATAATGTCATGGCCCTTTTTTGTTTTCAAATACTACATCATTGATCCAACCAACGGATCAGGGCATAATACAAAGTAATCAATCATAATACAAAGTATAAATCAGAGTTTCTGAAAAAAATTCTTTCAAGTGACCATTCTATTCCACTTTGTGATTATATATATATATATATTTGTTAAACTGCATTTATTTGTTAGCTGAATCATAGAATTCTATTTCCCAAATAATATTAGGGAATGCCTGACGTAATGTATGGCCATCTACTCTGTTTGTTAACCTGAGAGTGATGACGATTTTTGTGGTTTTAGGGTCAGTACAGCAAGGATTAAAGCAAGAGAATTGCTTTTATTTTTGAAAGAAAAAATAAATGAGGAGGCTTTGCAGGAAGAAGATATTGTTGAATGGATGATGTGTTGTTCAGATGAGCCAACGCTGGCATATCAGATGACTGATGATGAAATCATTGGCTCTGTTTTAAACTCACCACAGCAAGAAGACAATTTTGACACAGACACAGATAGTGAATTTGATAGAAGTGAGAAAATATCTTTTAATGAGAGTCTGGAACTTGGTGAAAAATGCCTAAAATTTTTATAACAAAGCTGTATCACAGAGCAAGAGATTATGACTCTATAATTTACAAAAAAAAAAAAAAAAAAAAAAAAACTTACTCTGGTGCACTCTAAAGTTTTAAAACAAACCTCCATCAGAAAAATGTAGAAAAAAAATGAAATATTTTATGCTTTATTAATATCCCTTATTTTTATGTCTATTGAATACATCCCTAATGCTTATAAATATCCCTGTAAGCACTAATATAATATAATCAATAATACTAATATAATCAATTTGTAATACTAATATAATCAATTTGCACTAATACTAATATAATCAATTTATATATGTAATAATTAATACACATAATCAATTATTGTAATAGTGTATAATAATTTAATTAAATGTATAACACACCTTATTTATTTTGCTTTTTTAGTCTGAATATTACGATTTATCTTTTCTGTCCTGAAATCTGCAAAATCCTAAAATCTGCACAACCTTTAGTCCCAAGCTTTGCAGATTTCTGGAACTTTACTATAGTACTCCACTCTGTTACTCAACTCAGTGAGCTCAGTTTTTTTATTCTTATATGCTTGTAAATTATGCATTTTTTGCTATAAAAATGATTGAATTATGTTGAGCTTATCTTCCAGTTAAGCTTTTTATGCCTTTAGTTAACCTGCGTGTTATAGTTTTAGAATTATCAACAATTTAAAAGTTGTTTAAGTGCGGGTAAGCCTATAGCAAGATTGCTAAATATGACTGCTATGGTAAAAGAACATAGCAGTCATATTTAGCAATCTTGCTTTAAGCAAGAAGAAAAGAGATGAGAACTTTGGCGAACGCTGTTTCCTCCAGTCCGTGAGGACATACTAATGACAACAGTCATATTTGTTTACATTTGAAACTTAGAGGAATAGTGGATTTGTTGCCAATTTGGAGAAACTAAGCTTCGCAACAACAAAGTAACATCTACTTTTATTATTGCTAGTTAAATTATGCTAAATCCATTCTGGAATTATCATTTAAGTTATTAAATTATCTTACATATTGACTCAGCATAGCGCTCACAACAAATTAAATCAGTTTCTACGCCTTCAATGTCTTTTTGCCGAGCGAAACTAAAAGTAAACTTCCAGTTTTGTGCACAGAAAAACCTATCTTCTTGCCCGCTGGCCGAATTGTTTGTTTTTGCATAGAAACTATAATTTTAATTGTAAAATTTTTTTTACTGTATTTGATTGTTTCATGTTTTTCTATATCTTTAAAATTTTAATGAAGGTATTTTGTGTTTTTATTAATTATTTTTGCCTTGCCGCGAAGTGAGAACTGAATTTATTGAATGAGAAATGTATCTCTAATGAGTTTAAAGGCAATAAGTCAAAAAAGCATATAACTTAATATCCCGTAAAAGGAAGTCATGTGGTGCCCTCATCAATTTTTATATTTAATAATTAAATTAAAACATGTAAGTAAATTAAAAGTGCATTACTTTTATTTAACCTTAAAAGCAAACAGCTTGGATGTTTGTGTTTCTGCAGTTGCACTGAAGAGTTATAAGGGCCTTATTCAATTTTCAAAGTAAAATAATGTCGATAATCTAGACTTAAAATTTTTATTATATATTTCGTTTCATATGAAATTAACAGTGAAATGAATATCAATCAATATAAATAACTTAACCATGAGTATAGATTTTAAATTTACTTTGTACATTTTCAGAGAGCCCCCCCCCAAGGAAATGTTTGTTTTGAAAAAGCAATAAAAACACTAAACAGGAACAGAAGAAATACCTATCTTTATTAGGTAAAAGATACTATACTAACTGCAACATCCCAGTTTCCTTTCTCACATGCCAAAAAAATAACAAAATATGAAATATTTTACTTAATTCCAACTTTAAATTTATCGGGTATTTTCACCTTTAATTTATAATCAGGAGTTTCACCTTCTTCAGCAATTTTATACACAAGATGTTCAGAAAGATTTTTATACACGAGCTCCAATTTAGGTTCCGTCACATCTAGGTTCTTGGCCTTTATTAATTCAGATAATACAGGAGGTAAGTCATCATACTTTGGCAGAATTTTAAGAATATCTTTGGTTTCATACTTCAGATATTTATCTTCATCTTCTTTGGAGATGAGGTGAAAATCAGTGAAACATGTACTATATGTCAGTAGTCGCAAACCTTCCAGTTTTCTACCTGCAACATAAATAAAAGAATCAATTACATGAAAATTGACACACAAGTTAACTTTAGTATGTGTAATAGACACGTATTTCTTATAGTGTATAAGATAGCGGTTTCAAACTGACAGCTCCCTAAGCAACTTGTGAAGACATTTCAATTATAAATTTGTTGCAAATACAATGTTACAAAGATTTTAAGATCTGAAGTCCGAGTTAATATTATTTAGATTGCCATTAAAAATATGTAAATGGATTTAACTAATTTAATTTGTGATATATATCTTATTTAAATATATAATTTATTAACTTTTATTCGTACTTAGCAAAAGTAAACAAGTTCAGTCATACATTTTTGACTAAGAGCAATCTCTTTTTTGGCAATACCTTTGTATGTAAGCAGCTTTTTCTAATAGTTGAAATTTCGTATGAAAAGAATTCAATTTAACTGGTAAACATGTAACATACACGAGAAAAATAATTCTTTCTAGCTTCTTTCCAAGGCTACAAACTTTATCAGAATCGAAAAGCCATAGTGACAAGCTTTAGTAAGAGATAAAGTTTATAATTATTTACATATGTTGTTTTTCTTACTTATGTGTCGAAAAAAAATTTAATAAATAAAAGAATATCAATGCAAACATTTTTATCCCCAGCGCGTGAGACTGTGTAATGGAAGTTCTAAAGATATGCTGTTTTTAAATATTTTGTGATACTGCAGTTGAGTTGAATTTTATGTGGTTTAAAGTGCAAAAAACATGACATTTAATAAATAAAGGTAACACACAAAACGTTAACAAAAGGTCCTTTGGGCATAATATAAAATCTGAAAGCTTTTGTATATTTTTTTCAAAATTCATTTATCATTCCAATGACAAGATCCAACAGGCTGACAAACACCTAGCCAGCTCTTCTGCCGATGGCGATAAGGAAGAAAGTCATTGTACACTATTAAGTAAGGATACTACAGATTACATTTAATACTTGCACACCATTATACTATATAGTTACAGATGCCATACTCAACTATTTGGAGAAGACTGTGAAGAGCAGTGGTATTCAAACTATGGGTCGCGAAAATTTATAGTGGGGTCGCAAGGTGGATAAAAATCCTAAAACATCCCAGTTCATGGCATTATAACTTAACCCGTAACAGGGGAGGTGAAAAAGTTGAACATAACAGGGGGCGTGCGGTCTCAGAGACCGCGCATTATAATAAATTTTTAAAAATCGTCTAATTAAAATATCATCATGATATTTCACTTAGATGTTGTTTGAACATTTTACTCTGAAAAGAAAACATGTTTTTATACTTTAAAGTGAAATTAAATTTTTCCCAGAAAATTTCCCCATAGCCTCAAATTTTTCGATGAAAAATCATATGCTGCACTAAATTCTAAAACTAAAATAAGAATGCATCTATTTGAATTAATTATTTATCTATATTAGTTAATATTTAAAGCAAATTTTACCGCAGAAAATTGTTGTAGCACAATACAAAAAATTTTGACAGTACCTAATATCAGTATCTCACTGATTTTCTGATAGTATAACAATTGAGTTTTCGTCTTCTTTAACACATTCATTGCATAACTTTTTGCTTGCATTCCAAACTAACAGGGTCTTGGCAAAGATAAACATAAATATGCTGGCTTTCTTTTCTTGCTTGGGGGGCACAGACGACATGTTTTCCGTGATTTTAATTTTGCTTCTTTTGTGCACTGCTTCACATCCTTAGACTCAGCTTCTTTTGTGCACTGCTTCACATCCTTAGACTCAGCTTCTTTTCCTAAAATCCGCTTTATCGTATGGATTTTTCACTCTCGTGTGTAGTAGTGGTTGGACTTATTCTCTCGCTAATTCTTTCGAAAAACACCATTCTGGTCATAACAGGTTTGGTTATAACCTTGGTCAAAATGTATGCGTTTACTGTACTCATATCTACTAACCGGTAGAAAAGAGCCATAGGCCAACGCGTTGTTTTCCTACTACAGGAATGGGCAGAACATTTTTCATCTAAAGCATCAACACCACCTCTGGTTCTGTTATAAAAACCAATTATTTTAGGTTTCTGTGTTTCCGAGTCTGTTTCTATCGAATGATGCAATGATGACATTAAAACTACTGCTCGCCTTTTTTTTTTTTTTTTTGCAGAAATTTTCTTCACAGTCATCTTCTTCACTAAAATCACTTCCAACTTCGTCTAGAATTTTTTTCAGTTCTTCTGCATAACATGGATCAGAAGGATAAATGAATCTCCGCGGACCTAACTTCAGAGCCATGTGTTCACTACTGCTGAAAATTGTAACACTGAAAGGGAGGTGAGGTCTCACAGACCGCTCTCTCTCTTTGGCAAGTGTATCCGCTTCAACAGATACACTTGCCAAAGCATTCCGATAAGAAGGGGTCAGAAAGAAGGTCACGAAATGTGAAGCTAGGGGAAGAATCCATTCACTTGGACAAAGCATGCAATAGGGATGATGGGAGGAACATGTGGCGCGGTCCGTCAGACCGCACGTCCCCTGTTACAGGTTAAGGTCAATGCTCTCAATGGCTGTCACAAAGTTTTGTGGCCGCACTTCCTCAAAGTTTGAATACTACTGGTGTAGAACATTAGAGAATAATTAATTCATTAATGCCATACATTTACAGAATGGTATACTTCATTTTCTCAAAACACAATTTTATGATCTTCAAAATATACAAGTTTGAAGAAATAGTACACGTACGTAGCTGATAAAATTATTTTAAATCTTTCCTCATATGGATAATGTGATGATCTGAAAGACATCGTATGATAATGCGAGATTTTTCAAGAGACCGTTTGAAATCCAATGCAAATGCAATTTGGAAGTTCTGGATATCGACTACATCAAACACACTGCACATTTCTGATTCTGAATAATAACCAGTGATAAAGGCAAATTGAATCACTGACTTCTGACACAGACAATAAATTCTCAGTTTGTAAGGGAATTCATCAGAATTTAAAAAAAAAAAAAAAAAAAAAGCAAGAAGAGGGAAGACAAAAGATTTCCTTTTTTAATTCTACTTTAAATAAATGACAAAAATTTCTTATTTTGGATAAAATTTTGTCATACTATCCATTTTCAAATACAAAAGCAGTATTAAGAATTTAGATGAAACACATTACATAACATTATACTAAAAAATGATGCAAGTATCATTGAATGCATACAAACCTTGGCACAAAACACCCGATAATACATTTATTTTGAAATTGTTCCGAGATCAATAAAAAAACATTTTTTATCACTGAATATATGCGATAGTTATTGACTATTTCAATATCAGGTTTTTACAACTTTAGTTTTAATTGCAACAGCAACTCTGCCTCAGCATACTACCCAGTAATTTATAATATTCTTCCTTATTTATGCCGTTCTAAACTTGTTCAAGAACATTTATAAAGGAAATTTTGGATCTCAGTGTTGGTATGGCAGTTGGTTTAAAAGACCCAAAAGATACTCTGTCCGGTAAGATCTGGCAACTGTGATGGTCAGTCTTAAACATCAATATTATTATAAAGAACTTGATGAATACAAGGCAAGACACATTATCTTGTTGAAACAGGATTACATCCCTGTCTTTGTTTGTATCACATAATAATTTAGAAAACGATGGTTCTAGAATTATTTCAAGAACACTGATGTATTTGGCTATTTATGAGATTGTTACAAATGTATATTTTGCCTACATACATCACTGGCAGTCATACATCTACAGGTCATAATACTGGCCCCTCCATGTTTGCAATGGACATACAAAACACTTCAAAGTCAAGAGGGAAAATATACTTTTTTTTAAGGGACTACTTTCTAGCCAAAAATAATTTGGATATGTTTGAAAGATTATTTTTGAGTGAAAGATTATTTTGAGTGAATACTTCATTTTTATCTTTTCCTCGTCCCCTTAAAAAATAAAAATGAATTTAAAATTGAGTTATTCATTTGCTTTTACAAATCATAATAACTTTGAAAACAAATTTACAATTATATGCAGATAAACTTTTTCATAATTGTCTATAACTTTTAAAGATATCTAAAAAATATGGAAATGCCTAGTACTTTTAGACGAGGCTCTAATAAATAATAGAAGATATGACAATAAAACTTGGTGAATGATGTCGTAAGATACACAGGCTTGGTCGTATGCAAACCAAGAATAGAGGAAAAGATATTCCATAACATATTTTAACATGTCTAAGCACACCATAAGAACAGGCATTATGGATTTTTCTCAGTAAAATTCTAGCATGCAAAGTTGTAACAGTTCTATAAAATACAGCAGTGAACTAATTGAAAGTTTTGTTCCATGTTTAGTGAATCTGGAAAAGTAAGTTACGACATGCTAAAACAAGTGCATGAAGATGAAGCCGATGAAGAAGATTTTTAAAGTGTGCTTATAAATGGTTTGACCTTTTTCAGGATTGATGCAATTCCACTAAATACACTCCATGTTCTTGTAATGATGTAAACATTAGAAACCAGAAGAAAGTAACATAGAAGGAGCAACAATGAATGCTTACACATACAAAGATTCTCTGACAAATTTATTGTAAAAAATCTACCAGTGTGTACACAGTACACGCAAGGCTCTTGTTAGCTCTTGGTTCCTTCTCTATGATAAAGCCTTCAACTCTCATCATGAAATAATTTATGGCTTGTAGAGGAGATGGAAACTTCTATCGTTTATTTTTAAGTTGTATAATAAAAACTTGACAGAAGGATAGAAAACTGAGCTTTAGGTAATACAAGATTAATCAATTATAATGGAGTTTTGATTTTAACGCTCTTTAAAATGAAAGTGCACAAAGGTTAATTAAAGAGCAGATATTTAATCTTTAATACAAGGCCTGGAGATAAAAAAAAATTATCACCGAAATAGTAAATACTTTTACACATGGAAAATTTTAAATTGCATTTATAATACCAGATGCATGCAAAAGTTTCTACCATTTTTTACTGAGAATGCACATTACATTTTCAAAGAAAA